ACCGGCCTACTTGAGTAATTTCCCGCTACCCCAAGGGTCGCGGGGCCGCTAACTCCGCCACTTGAGTGTTCCCCTGGCTGCAACCCTCAATGCCATGACACAGGTAAGTACCGGCCCTTACGGGCCCATCCAGCAAGCAAGCACCCAACCGGGTCACACACACTCAAGCACTCAGACAAGCATGCAGGCCATAAGCAAGCATGCACTCAGACCCCACAACAAGCGGAAAACTCAGTAAGGCATGCATTCCACGAGCAGAACTCAGAAATCGGCTGTACGTTTCAGTCCCTGTGATGACGGGTTATTACAAAACTATGGATATGGTATAATTTGTTTTGGTAACGTTGTCTGCATCCCGGTTGGTTGTGTCCTGTTGTTAGGTCTATTTCGGCGAGCGTAGCGTAGGGGTGCTTTCATGTGGGACCAGTCATCTGGGCTTTTTTTATCTTTTTGGCATCCTAGTTGGTTGTTTCAATTGTTCGGCCTGTTGAAGGAGCTGGGCGGTGCTTTTATGTAGGAATCGTCATCTGGGATTGTCTTTTATGTTTTTTGTCCCGGTACGAATGGTTTACAAATGGGAATGCCAACGTCTTGATGACGAATAAGGCCATCTGCTGTATATAGATATGTAATCTGGGATTTTTTGCAGACAAGAGTTTTGTCCTGGGTGGTCTTGTCCCGTCGTTTGGCCTGTGAAGGAGGGGCGTGCTTGCATGTGGGACTTGTCGTCTAGGATCCGTTTTTTGTGCTGTTGCTTATTGCCCCCTGTTTTGTTGTATTTCGCTGTTCCCTTCCTCTTTTCTTTGCCTCTTTGCCCTTTGGCTGTGTGCGAGTGGGTCGATATGACACACGGGGGTGGGGGCAGCTGCCGCTCAACCTACATCCACGTGGGCGGCCTTGTACGCAAGAGGTTCTGAACAGGGGGAGTTGTAAGAAAGAAGATAAAAAACGAATTATTGTTTTCTTGTTTTCTTCTGTTTTTTTCGCCTTTGCGCTCTGATATTCATGTGACGATATATATATATATATATATATATATATATATATATATATAAATATATATATATATATTGTGCTCATGTGTGCACTCAAGGTACAGTTCTTCAAAACAAAGATTGATACGCCTGGTGACCGCATGGTCACTAGATTGAACACGCTGAACGGATCTTTCTCGATTCGTTCTATGTTTACCTTGAAATGTGTGTGTGTGTGTGTGTGTGTGTGTGTGTGAGAGAGAGAGAGAGAGAGAGAGAGAGAGAGAGAGAGAGAGAGAGAGAGAGAGAGAGAGNGAGAGAGAGAGAGAGAGAGAGAGAGAGAGAGAGAGAGAGAGAGAGAGAGAGAGAGAGAGAGAGAGAGAGAGAGAGAGAGAGGACTTCACGAGTAGCAGTGTCCCAAGTCAGTCCCAAGTCCAATGTACCATAGTACCCGTCCCATCAGTAAATTACTTAGGCCCATGGGTTTAGTCTACTGTGTACAATCAGTCCCAATGTACGGTAGTACCAGTCAGTCCGCTTGCACAGTCCAGCCCAGTCTGTTGGCAGCCAAGTCCCAGGAAAGTCGGCGAACATTGTGGATGCATAGAAGCCTGGACGCAGCGGCCTGCAGGTGAGGGGTACCATCTGGGAAGTCCGAGGCTAGGAATGCACTGCAATTTATGTAGAATGAGCATTGCGCAAACCCACTCTTGCCGTCTTGGTGACAAATGTGTCGCAAACCCAAGGACATGTGCGTGTACATCACCCATTAGTGGTAAGCCATACTGACTGTGATCAGACACGGCGTCCCACATTCTTTGCCCTAGTACGCCTCGTATGCTTGCACCATATGGGTTGCAGCACATCCGTGCACAGGCAGTACACGCAATTCAGACTTACAACTCTGGATTTGTCTTATGCCGAACCTGCAGGTGCGCTTCCATGAAAAATTCCACGACAGGGGTGTTTACAACTGCAAGAAGGACCTTTGTGATATATTCTCGAATGGCTACCAGATCTATGTGGAGTTTGGGGGAATCCATGACGATTGGATTGACGTTATGGTATCGTCACCCGGCGTTTCTGTTGAAGAATCCACCGAATGGGTTGATAAGAACATTTTGGGAGCCATTGACCAACTTTGCAGCGAGCCGACTGGTCTCCCAGGTGTGGATCTGGTGACGAAAATTCTTCGTCCCCGCTGTTTGACAACATCTCCGATTGTTCCACGCAGGTACCGGAGCGTCGATCAGACTGTCACAGAAGAGAAGCTGATCGAGGAGATGGAGAGGGAGGAATATAATTACAATCATTCCTGGCCTTCCATTTGGGATGAGCAGGGCCAGGAGATTGTTCCACGATCGTGTGATGATGCTATGGCGCTGATCAGACCGAAAACACTGGAGWGTCACCTATCCATTCAGAAGCATGAGCTTCACAACGTTTGTGACAGCTTCGATGTAGTCGAGGGGAGCTCAGGACAAAGACAACGAGAATCTGGTTGCAAAAACAGCACTGCAAGCTTCGATGGCCATTCTGAGGCACCTTTTGAATGTGAACAGCCGACAGGAAACGTTCAAGAGTTGGGTGATTTGGTGACGAGGGGTGTTCGCTATCTTGCTGGAAAAGTTGACAGAAATTTCCGGTTCATCAGTGAGCTGAAAGAAGAAGTGAAGCATCTGAGGAAGGAGCAGAGTAATGCGTTTACAAGACTCTGCAATGCCCTGTCTAGCATTTCCGTTTTCGCCATTGAGCAGCACAGTCATCGCCTCCCTCATCGTGTTTACATCACGGAGAGGAAATCTGGCTTTCGCCAGAAACTGAGTTTTCTGATTGGCTTGAAGCCAGTGGAGCTGCATCTCATGTGCGAATCCAAAGACCGCTGTCATGTTGTAGATGGCCAGGAGGGGAAGAGGTTGTGTTTGCAGAACGAGGAGAGGCGCCATGTGTGGACTCTCTTCAAGTGGACAATTCTTACTGTGGCTGTGCTGCTGAAAACCGGCTGTGCAATTTCTATGGGCATCCATCAGCTTGTGCCAGACTTGGGTGGCGTTGCCAACTGGACAAGCTTTGTGATTGGAGCAGTGGGGAACGCTGGTCTGGAGTTTGTGGACATGGACGACCTTAAGCAGAGAATGAATGCCATTGGAAAGGATATGTTCAAGGATGATGGTCCGGAAGATGCACTGAAGCGTCAGCAAGCAATGGACTGTCTGGAGAGAAACCTGGAAGGTGGGGCAAGTGAGATACGGGAAAGATTTGGTCTCACGAGAGTGAAGTACAGGGACACAAGCTCGGTTGCCTGGATCTGTACCCCCTGCCTTGAGAAGAGCCATCTGGCTGTGGAGGTATTTTAGGTGAATCCATGCAACCAAATGAATAGGCACACGAGTCATACTTGCGGTGCAAAAGTGTGCTATGTGCCACACCGGTGTGCGGCCATGAAAAGTAATAAGGGAAATTTTGGAACACCTTTTTTTTTTTTTTCTTTTTTTTTTTTTAATGCAAACATCCTGTGATGTCCTGTGGTCCTGGGCCGATGGAACACGAGCTTACGTTTTTTTTGGTCATAAATTCAACAACCAAGATTCTGGGATATTGCTCCTGCCAAAAGCCGCTTGGAAAACGTTTTTGCACCACAAACTTTAAAAGGTAGTTTCATGGAATTTCTCCAAGTGCTGTGGGAGCTTGCGATACAGACTGTGCACCACAAGTGCACACCACAAACTTTAAGGTATGTACTATGTTTGTATTACTTTGAAGTATAACATTATGTATTTGTTTTGGGTCAAAGCACTGTATTTGTGAAGAATCTTAAAGCTGTTATAGAGTAGGTGTGGGCAAGAGGAGAGGAGATGGTCTCAGCCAGATTGCTTCAATGTAAGGCCTCATGAGCCTCTCAGCGGGCAGCAGAGGGCCAGTTGGCCCTGAACTCGGGCGAGAAGAAGTAGAGGCCCGGTTAGGCAAACACAGGGACTCTGCAAAGCTCTGAAAGGCAGTTCTGACCAGCTGAACAGGGACCCGAGATTCTCACATTTTTAGAAAAGACCACGGCTGGTCGAACTTCATTCGGTATGCAAAATGCGGCCAAGCTCCCAGTGTACTAAGTCAAGTGGCTCTAGGAGCGGAGGGCAGATCGTAGCACTCTCCCAGCATCAGCTATAGGTACACTGAGACAGAAGATTGGTGCCATAACCTTGAGGCGCTGTGGTGTAGGCGGGAGGTTGCACTACGAGGGGAGATGCTTGGAGATAGGGGAAGTAGGGGGAAGGCTGTGGAGGAGAACGGAGTTGGCGAGCGACTGACGTGGTGGTCGCCAAGAAGAGCAATAATAGGATATGTTCTTCGAGAAGGCATCAGTGAGAGTAGCACGGTACTCTGTTCCCCCGTACTATGGTGTTGTGTAGGCTAAACCAGAGGGCAGAGTAGATGGGCATGCCTGCATGTAGAGAGACCAACGAGGACTGAGAACTGTTATTGCTGTGGCTGTGTTCGTCGTTGGGGGGAGAGAAGAGGGGTTTTCATCGTCTAATAGACTTCAATGACGACTCGTCTTCTGCTGGTGTGAAAAAGCTTCGTTGTTTCCGCTCCTAGTCTGGCCGCCATATGCATGCCGGCTGGTCAAGAAAGTTCCTGGACATTGTGATTTGAGTTTCTCCTATGATTTTGTAGCAATTTGGCATTGCGTGGCTCCCCATGAGCGTGCTACGCACTGGCCGGGAGCTGAAGTTGCTGTGCACAATGACGTTAAGTGGCGGTCGGATTGACGTCTCCCCATAGAGCTCTTCCACTAGGGTTGAGACTCGAGAGCAGATGGGAGGAGCCTCAGGGGCGAAGAAGGATGTAATATGTATGGTTAGCTATGAAAGGGCAGGGGTACTGGTTGCTTGGAAGCCACGTGTGTTGCTTGGAGGCTGCGCGGCACACTCAAGGAACCGGCCGCGATTGCCCGCTATATCTCCACTGCAGGCTGAGCCAGAGACTCAGCCTCATTTGCTGCGTGCAAGTTTGGGTGTCATGCTGCTGGAGCGCCTGGTTGGAGAGTGCTAGTGTGCAGCGCTAGGGAAGGAGCGCCTGGGTGACCACCTGGGCTATGGTGGAAGACCCCAGGTGGGAGGAGGAGGAAGAAGGGGACTAGGAGGGAGAGCGCCAGGGGTGCTTACCTGGCTATGGTGGACGTCATCTTCATCACGGTGACCTTGGTAGGTGCTGCATCTGGAAGGCCCCAGTTGGGGTAGCACTACATCAAGAAGACTTCGGACAGAGTCAGGAATGGTGGCCTGAGGGAGAAGAGGGCATAGCTGTTTTGCTTTGTCTTCTGAACATCCGGGCAGGGCCCCTAGTAGTCCGCCATAGCCCTTGACCTCAGGAGGTGAAAGAGGAGGGAGGCCACGGCTATGGTGGACCTCTTGTTGGGCTGGCAGTAGAAGAGGGATTCGTACATTGACTCTGGTTCCAGCCGTTCATTGTTATTATTATTATTATTTGAATTTTGAAAAATAAAGGAGGAGAGAAGTTGTTGGCGAGAGGAGGGGGATTTGTCATTGGTCCATTGCTTGTGTGCAATGCCATCTTCTTCTTTCTTTTTTTTTCATCTTCTTCTTTCCTTCTTCTAGTTTGCTACACGGGGAATCTTCTTCTTTCAAGTTCTTTGGTCTCTTTCTCCTTCAAGTTGCAAGCTCATTCATTTCTCGTGTAATTGGATGGCATTGTATCTCTTTGTGAATTTGCAAATCGAAATCGGCCAGGATGGTAACCGTTAGCAAGCAAGATAAGAATTCATAGCCCTATCTTACCTGTCTCATTGTCTTGACTGCAATTCCTTAAAATTAAGATTTGTTTTTTTCTGTCCTCATGAAATTGCATTTCAGTTTACATTGGTGATTATCAAGCCTTTGTCTGTCTTTTCACTAACAGGTGTTTTTCACTCCCTATGTTTAGGTATGATGCTGTGTGTGTGACATACTACTGAGAGGATGGTACACACAGTTTCATGTGGTGAAATAAACACGAAAAGAGAAAACGGCGTAATTTTGAAAGACGAAGACAAATAAATTCCTTTTTCTTTTAATACAAAAACTTGAAAAAGACAATGCTCCAATCTATTTGTGGGGAGCAGCGCATCGAAAGGATTCACGTCCATTGCCTGCTGCAATTCGATCCCATACCCTAACCTATGCGTTTCCCTTTGACTGAGCATGCAGAGATTTGAACCTGGAACCTTACCTGGGGGTGTTCTATAGCGATTAGCCATCTTGTGCTTGTTGAGTCTTGATCCCACAACCTTCACCTGCACAAACTCGTAGCAAAGCCCTTACCATTCGTAGGCTGTGAATAGAGGTAGGGCGTCCAGCAGGTTGCACGGGAAAGGCACAACCCAGGCCTTAGGGCAGAAGGGTACCAGTACCCAAGGCCTTAGGCCAAGTAACAAAAGTCTTGTGTGGAAGTTGAATCATCATAATTCTGGTGTGTTGAAGCTGGAGGACATTCGACAAGGAGAGGAACAGCGCTATTTGACCTACTGAACGAAGGAGAAGGGGCAGCCATAGCTGCGGTGCAAGGAGAACTGTGTGTGTAGGCCGTAGCAGCGTGAGTGAAGTGTGTGCATGCCCACCGCTGTGTGCATCTATGCGTGCTATGCTGTAAGTGAGAGAGAGCGAGAGAGCAGTAGTGTCGACGAGGGATCGCCACATCAGCGCACTGACGTGCAGTGGCTGACCGGATCCTTGGGAACATGGGAGGCATCCCTGTTATGGGCAGAGTCTGTGACTCGTGAAGACTTGCGTCCAACTCTGGTTTGTGGATTTGAAGTTTCATGGGAGTTCCACTTTGAAATGGACTCGTGAAGACTGTGTTTGACCTGCCATCTCCAATTTGCAAGCGTCAGCGGGCATAATAATATTATGTGGATGCTGTCGCATAACAACACGCTGGGAACTGGGCCCAGCATCCCATATGAAAATATACAGAACAATTGAGATACCGGGCCCATCACCCGGCTTTGGCTGAGATAACTGGAATATGCGTAGACAATACTGATCGATTGGGATTTTATTTTCGGAATTAGCTGAACCATTGGGAAGAACATCAGGGCAATTTACCGAATGCCAAGATACCCAAGTGTTACTCAACAGACCAAGACAAAGACAAAATGATCTCCATTTTCAACAAAATGCCAAAATGGAGGATTCTTTTCATAACATGAGCTCAGGTTTGAGTGAATTGCTTGAGAGTTGTCTTAAACCACCAGGACATGGCCAAACTGGCAACTTGAGAAACATGAGAGGCTGGACCAAAATGGCTGGTGGTGCCAGCGAAAACGAAAAAGAGAAAATTATGCTGCCTTGTACAAAAGAGGCCCAGATGTACTGGTGGTTTTTTAAGTGGCAGGTGTGAGTGCTGCTGAGCCTTGAGAGGCATGCCAGCTCAGACGGTTCCAGTGGGGGATGGGCGGGTGAATGAGAGAGCGCCCAATGCATATGATGAGGTGGAGGTCACAATCATGCGGGAGAAGTACACATGCATGCGCTGAATGCATTGAATGTCAGAAAATGCAGTATGGGGGACCTGGGGGTCCTGGCTGCAACATTGTCCTGTTGCTATGTCAAATACGTCCTGTGTAATCTTCTCTGCACAGGATGGACCTGACGGTAGGTTCCATGGATGATGTTCACCTGAGCAGGCTGTCAGTCAAAGAGGGGGAAAAGAGAGACGCAAGAAAGATGGATCAGCGGATTCAGCGCTGACTGTGTGCTCAATTGCTATAAACAACTGTCTATTTTGTGCTTGTCATAGCGCTGTTCTGCAAATGCAGTCTTCTATTGATTGAATTGGTCAAGGTGATCATGTTGTTAGCGTCAGAACAGTCTGTCTTTGCAGGTTAATGATCATTCAAATTAATAATTATTAGTATGCGAAATTGTGGTCCGATAACTAACTTAAAGTTAATTTAACTGATTTGTTTATGAATCGAGTATCCACTGTAGTCGTTAACCGATTGCCAATGGGGGTTAAGAGTCCAGGTGGTATTGGGCATGAGTATATAATAGTTGAATTGACAGAGATAGTTTACACCCAATTATTAGGTTCTAATTAGTGCAAGGCAGTGATTGACGCCGTTGTACTGATTAGCTCTATAATTTACTGAATGAGCAAAGAGGGGGGTTGGGTGGCTTGGCTGAAAGTTAGGAAGAGGCCTGGTCTCTACTGGTGCTCAGAAACCGAGGAATAGCCGAGACCATGTTGCTGACGGCAGCAGAAGGGTCAGGGGGCCAGTGAGGCCCAAGTGCCTCAGGATCTTGCAGGGGTACTAAGTCATGGAGAGGGAGTCCAGCCAGATCTAGGCCTATTACTGGAGAAGGGCTGATGAACCATCGCGGCACACCAGCACAAAG